AGGCTTCAAACCACAGGTATTTCATCCTATATGTAATTTAGACGTATTTTTTCAGCTCTTTTCGTTTATGGTTAGGCAGAAATTGGATAGTTCAGGCACATAATATGTTGTCCTCTTTTATTCTTTGTTTCCTTGCAGCTCTGTTACTTTAGAAGAACCGAACCTTTCAGTCTACCCAAGGGCAGCATGCCTAAATGGCTTTTCACAGAAGGTTGTTCTTCATGCTGGTGATGCCCTGTTCATTCCCGAAGGATGGTAAGATATTACCCTGTTTTATTTCTTGCTAAAACATGCATAATATGTTTGTTTTCCTCCTTTTCCCCTTCTTTCTAAACATTGTAAACCTCATTTCTCTGGATGTGGATTATCTCATAAAAAAAGTGTTTCATGCTATATGGTCTTTACTGGTCTAGAGAAGAAAATATTCCACTACGCAAAGTCCCCCGGCATAAGTTGTGAGAGAAAATTGGAACTTTTGAATTGCTCGTACAGAAAATGTACAATTTTGACACAATTCACCAGATAATAACTTTTGTTATGTATGCGTCAATTCTAAATTACTCATTTTCGATAATCTTCTGTTTGCATCAGCTGCAAGTGTCGCGTACTGCTTCCATGAATTTCTGTTTGCATCAGCTGCACGTGTCGTGTACTGCTTCCATGAATTTCTGTTTGTCTGCATGTTCTAAGGTTCCAATTCGTTTAGTTTGTACCCATGTATTCTGTCAAAAGAATTGAGAATATCAATTCTGCTATGTGATTGAAACTTAGTACTGGAGTAGTAATTCTATTGGAGTGCCCTTTAACAAAAGCATAAGTAGCACAGAATTTTCTTCCTTGCTTATCTGCATGTTCTGTATATAAATCCAACAGTTATATCTGGATTTCTTTTTGACTACTGGTGGATGCCGTTGATTTTAATTTTAGAATGAATTTATTTTTCACAGAATATGTATATTGGGTTTTGTTTACTCTATTTGTTGGAGATGGAAGCAATATGTACTGTAGGAAACCCTCCGACTTAATCATATGTCTTTCGATGTAGGTCACTAGATCTATCAACTCATTGAATGATGTGTATCCGCAGTGGCTCTGCTGTTATTTATAATTTTCTCCTTTCTTTTTGAATTATTGGATGTACCTAGTCATTAGTGTTGATGTTCTAGGTTTCATCAAGTGGATAGTGAAGCATTAACCATCGCTGTTAATTTCTGGTGGCGGTCCATGACAATATCTGGCATGTTGGAGCATATGGATGCATATTATCTGCGTAGAATACTAAAAAGGTAGTTTTGTCTATCTCGTCTTTTAGATTGATCAGATTTATTGTTGGCTCTTCTGTGGTGTTCATGAAGAAATATTTGACTAATAATTTTGCTCATTGGTGCTCTTCCACCTCTCCACTGGCAATGCAAGATTGATTGATAAGGAAATGGTTAGTTATCCTATATCTCCATTCATCATTTTTTAATTACGTGAAAAATCTCATTTAAAAGTTTAAGCTGTTAGTGAAAGAGAACACTTATTTATATTGGTCTTCGTCATGTCATTTCATGTGGGACATGGATTATTTTGCTTTGGCCTAAGCACATGGAAATTCATTGATAATGGATACGATAAAACTCATTCATTGTTAAATTCGTTGCTGGGACCTTTGCCTGTATTTATACCATATTAAATTGTGGGAAGTACATCATCTAAAAGTTTGAGCTGTTAAACAGGAAATTTCTTATTTCCTTATAATAGCTCAACTGTTGACTTTCACTTGACTAGGCCCTCTGGTAGAAGGTGCCTACAGAAACACCTTGCTGTTTCAAAAGTAGACTATTTTTGGCCTTCACCTCTAACTCATCAAACGGAGTCCTTGTTGGTTCATCCTCCATGTAAACTGATATGTTTCATGCAACATTTCTTTGACTCGATCCTGCACCCTAGAGATTCATCTCATTTTGTACAATCTGTCTCACTTGCATTTGTTAATTGGGTCATGATGTGTCTCAGCTGGCTTCTGTGGGATGTATTTCTTTTTAATCCCTTACTTATCCACCACATTTTTTCCCTTGCACGTCATTCTTTTCTTAATTAAGTTGGGTACGGTTGCCACAAATTTACCTTTCATTAAAAAAATTAGGTAGGGTTGCGACCTCTTTACATTTGCCTTCCTTTCTTGCATTTGATCTCTCCTTCTCTGCATTTTCTTGTTTCTTTTTGTCAGCAATCGGCTTCTTTTCCTCCTCTTCTTATTCTTCATTATTCTTTTGCTTGGTTTTGTATGTTCTCAATATGGCCTCGAAGATGACATGCAATTTTTTAACTGTCCCCTTTAGTGGGTTTTGACTCGTGAAATTCCTCCTAATTTCCTCCTTTTGGCTTTTCCCATTAGAACTTGCCGATGAGGGTAAGCTTACAATCTTTTGCAATCTTGACGAAGTAGTCCTGATCTGAAAAGGAATACGGCAGGTTTACCCATATGTGTTCCCTTTTTATTTCAATTGGGCTGAGATTTGAGCTTCATGGCAGATTTGCCTTGACCATTGCAGAAAAGGGCTACGGGGCTTCACCGTTGTCTGAACAGNCTGGGTTGCTTTGTGCTACTGAATTTTTTTGACTGAAGCTGGGTCTGTTGATTTCAAGATGCTTTTAGCTGGTATGATGGGTTGGATTGGTCGGAAATGGCTGGGTGGAGCTGGAGGGTTCGTTGAAGGCTATGTGACCCGGGTTTGCTAGGTGTCATCCATGTGTTAACTACGTGTCTGAGTACATGGAGGAGAGTTAATGTCTATAAGGATTTGGTTTGTTGAGTTGGAGGCGAAACGCAAAAATGGTCCACTTTTAGAACGGTGATGGTGTTTTTGTTGACAACTTCAAATGGAGGGCCTAGTTGAGCGACAATCTAATAGTTGATGGGTAAATTTGAACCTTTTCCCTTATAATAATCATTTTAATAGCCAGTTTCAAGATGCTTCTGTGCTTCATTTGTGGGATGGAAATCAGTGATTCTGTCCTTTCAGGATCAGATGAATCATATATGTTTAGCATTGACATCCGTTCATGTTCAGCTATTGGGTTGTCATGAAAAAGATAGAGTACATAGATTGTCAGATTAAACAGGTTCAAATTGAGAAGTACTCAATAATTTAAACCTTTCATTGGCTTTGATTCCAATGACCAGATGTTGGTCAAACAAAGGAATAAATAAAACCAGAACTCTGGTTGGTATTTTGGTGATTAAGACTTCAAAGAATTGGTCAAACATTAAAGATCCATCTGGTTATATATGAAATGTGTAATGCATGGAGTATGGGATAAACAAAAGAAAGCTTTGATGAGTTGATGGAAGACAGTAGAGGGGTGACTTGGGAGATCATGACAGACAATAGTCTGTAAAACTGTATGTTGAGTATTGACGTTGTAAGAAAATTGTCATTGATTAGCCCACGGCGATGAAAAAACCTTATCAAAAATATAAAAAAATAAGGAAAAGAAAATTGACATTGGGGTCTAAACTCAATCTAAAAAGTTATCTCATGAGGCAAGGGCAAGATCATATAAAGTCAGTATAAGCGATACCCTTAACAACGTGGGACTGTAATACCCTATCACACTTCCAGGGTTGGACATCTAGAGTGTGTGTAACATATCATGGGAACTCAACATTGGCTAACCAAACATGAGGGATGACTGTGGCTCTGATACCATGTTAGCTAGCTCATGAGATAGAAAGTGTCCAAAATCGTATGTAGAGATTAAAACCAATATCTTCAACTGCTGTGGGACTCTAATATACACCAAGAAATTTTCAAGTGAGGAAGACCTGTTTGGTAACATTTGAATGCAGTTGGTGATGATGGAGGAGGTAAGACTATGATTTAGATGGATTAAGGAAAGTAGTTCTTTCAACTTGTTTTGACTTGTGATAAAGCACTATTGTTTTATCCTGAGAAAAAGCTGTTTTTCTTAGCAAACTTGAGGTTGTACTTTTAATTGGACTGAATTGTTAAACATCAATGCAGAGATCGATTTACCATGTTGTTGGATAATAAGTATACACATGATTTTTTCATTTCTCCCTCTTTTGTGACCAGGGCAGAATAAGATGCTGCATTTTCCTTCAAGTAGTATGGATAAAACTATGACTTGTACGACTTCCCAGCCTAATGATGCATACAGAGGTAATCATTTTCTCTATTTGTTAGTTTTGAATATTAACTTTTGCACATTTTCACTTCTGGGGTCTTCTTAATACCTATATAGGAGAAAAACTGACATGTATATAGGCCAGTCGTGTGCTCTAAGTACTGTAATTCTATTCTCTAGATCATGGAGAACAGAGAATCAGCACGAATTGTGGCAACGGAAGTTCAAATGATGAGCTTAGGTCAAAAGTGATGCTGCAAGATTTGGAGCCATGTGCATCACAGTCTCTAAATGAACTTATTTCTTTGGTCCATGACTGTCTCAATCCTAGCAAGCCGACGGGATTGGAGTATACAGATAATTCATCTGCTAAGGAGAATGATGAGACGAATAAAAGAGAAGAGGACTTGTGTAGCATCAACGATGATCCAGTTACTAATCTTATTTTGACTCTTCATCCACTTACAATCCAGAGTGTCTTTCTTGCAATGGCGGTGAGTTCATTTTTAACCATTTTGATGAATCTTGGTTATCTTGGGCCCATATTATTATTCTTAACTTCTTCTCTTTCCTTTCAGCTTTACTTTTTTTTCTGTTTCCTCTGCATCTTTTAGTTCTCAAAGGAGATTGCATACACTATAGTCCAACTGGATAAAACAAAAAGGTTGAGAAACTGTCCTGCTTCTTTGGGGGTGAAAAGTGTGGTTGGGGTGGGTGGGT